GTATATCTTGAATATTTTCCCTTTGAAGGTGAATATGGTAAGGAGAGGCTTGGTTAAGTTCACTTCCATACAAATTCTTGCGTACTCCCCCCTATTCAACCCGTGTTGTATTTTTGTCTACTTTAATGGTCTTCTTTATTCTATTCCCAATGATTGATAGGATCTTGGAGTCATAGTACTCGATTGGGAGGTCAACTATACAGATACAGACTGCAACTTTTTCAATTGTATGTCTTTCTGGTTGGGAAAAACGAGCATTTCCTTCCTTGATCCGTTTAGTGCTTCTTTCTTTCAAGTCATCTTCTTCAGTCTGTTTCGCATGGTTTGTCAGAGCAAAACCTATCGGTGGTTGTTGCATCCCTCTTAGAGTTTGACTTTTCCTTGAATAGTTGTAATGATTTGATGTTTTTTTTTTTTTTGAAAATTATGATTATGATGGAATATCTAGATTGCATTTATTTCATCAACAAAAAATATGCGAGTGTTTTAACTTACTACCATTAATAAAAAACTTCCTAATTTAAAATAAATAATTCACTTTACTATTTTCTCTCTTGAATAAAGTCATTATCCATGTTTTTTTTATCCCTCATTCCTTATTTTTCTCCCTCTCTAACTAAAATCCACTACTTCTACTATTTTTATTGTTGAATCTTTGGGATATTCCATTGTTAAAAATTTTTAAGGTTTTTTTGATGGGAGGAAGAAAGATTAAAAAGTTGTAGAATATATAAAACTTCAGAAGATTCAGGTTGAACAAAGAAATTTTTTAGAGTTTTAATTGAGAGTTACACTTTTGAGAGAAATTTTGGAAAAATTCACGATTTAATGAGGAGTTTCAGGAGAAAAGGAGAGATTTTTTTATCTTAAAAGTTGGAATAATTCATTAGAATACAACATTCAAAAGATCAATATACATTAAAATACAACATTCATTGAAATATGAAAATTATAGAAAAAAATAGAGGAATTAAGGACATTTTAGAAAGAGAAAAATTAATTTTACATTAAAATTACAAAAAAACTTATATTTCGGCACAAATTTTTTCTAAAACAATTTATAATAAAAAACAAAGAGAATATCATTTATTAAAAAATTACACGCCCACCCATTTTTTTATTAGAAATAAAAAGGAATACCAAAACAATTTTAAAAAAATTAATTTTGTAAATAAATTATAATTGTTAATTTAACTTAAACATTATGTAGTTACTCCTCCATATGTTATAAGTAAAATTTATTAATAGATAATATATGTAGTTTATATATATTTTTTGAGTCTTGCTAAATAAAATATTTTAAGCATTTCAAATAAAAAAACATTTTATCAAAAAATTAACTATTTTAATTTTTGAAATATTAAATATAAAAAAATTAACCATTTTAATTTTTGAAATATTAAATATGTAGGTTTTCAATTTTTTGATTTAATAGATATGTAAAATGATAGTTTTATACTGTCATCTAATAGAAAATCATCAATATGTCATGTCATTAATTTTTTAAAAATAAAAAGGGTTTAATTGGATATGTGATGGTGATTGACTGACAATGTAAAAATATTTTACATTGTCAATGCATCACTCTTTTTTTTTTACTATTTTAAAGTCCTAAAGAATATCCCAATACACTCGTTAACATTTCTCTATATTTATAAAAAAAAAAGAGTGATGCACTTACAGTGTAAAAGAAATTTATACTGTTAATCAATCACGACCATGAATCTTGCCAAGTCATATTGTAATTTTTTTAAAATTTATATGACATGACAAAACGATATGGTAATTCACTTACTGTATAAAAAAGTTTCACACTGTCAATCAACCACAATCATGAACCTTGCCAAATCACATTATAATTTTTAAAAGGGTTAAATAAGTTTTTGGTCCCTGTAAATATCTCAATTTTTGTTTTTAGTCCCTCAAATATTTTCCTTCAAAGATTGGTCTCTTCAAAATTTTCCGTCTGGACTATTGGTCCTCAACGTCAAGTTCCACTAACGGCTTCCTGTGGCAAGACATGTGGATTAAATAATTTGTTTTATTTTCTGATGTGGAATACATCGTGTACACCTTCATAAAGTTGAGTCACATGTATTTTGACCTAATTCATTTCCTTTTCGTTCGTAATCTTCTTCGTGAAATTCCTTTTTCTTCTTCTTCAGTTGGTGTGGTGGTTCGCCTTCCATCTTCTTTCTGCTTCAGTTGGTGTGGTGGTTCGCCTTCTATCTTCTTTCATCCTAATGTCTATTTCTTCTGTGAAATTGCAAGTTGAGAATTTTTGTGGTTGTCAGGTTCGTATGATATCGTATTGTTGCAAGAATGGACCAAATAAGGGTAAGTTGTTTTGGAGATGTCCTTATTGGCAGAGTTCTGATACTTGTAATCTATTCATATGGGATGAAGATCTTGGTGTAAAATCTGGAAATAAAGATGTTACTATTAGGAACTCAGAGTTGGAAACCATGGCATATGTGGGATATATGAAGTCGTTGTATGAAGAATCAAGGAAGAAGAACAAGAACTTGAATAGAAAATTAAAAACTGGAAAATTTCATGGAAGATTGAATATGTTGTGTCTTGTTGTGTCATTCATGATAAATGTGTATTTTGTTATCAATTGTAGTTGCTAAATTGTTCATCTAATGAGAATGTACTGTAATTTTAGGTCTTGTTCCAATGTTCATTTTGTTATCAATTGTAGTTGCTGAATTATTTATCTAATGAGAATGTACTATGACTTTAGGTCTTGCTTCAATGTTCATTTTGTTATCAATTATAGGTGTTGAATTGTTATCAATATTGTTTGTTATGATTAAGTTGACATAATTTGCAATATTGGTATAAAAAGCTTGTAATTTGATTGTTAAGTGCATAACTAAGAACATACTGAGACATGAGTATAAATTATATTAAAAGTTTAAAGTGAATAACAAAGCACATTACAAAGTGCATAACAAAATACATAAAAAGTACATAACAAAGCACATCACAAAGTGCATAAAAATACAACATTCATTTGTTTCATAAGACATAAGGTACTGACAAACTACATTTGTGTCACTCTTGAGCTTTCACTAAGTCATGCTCTTCCGGATATCATCCCATTTCTTCATTCCCTTTCCCCTAGAACTTCCAATAGTTGAGTCTTCTTCAGGTATTACAAAATGTATCATTTGGATCCCTTCCAGGTCCCTCTATATTCTTTGTCATCAAAGTCCTAAGTCTGTCACTCTTTCTAATTGTAGACACAATAATCTTTGACTTTTTCCTTGGTGATATTATGATTTTCACCTGTTATGGAAACAGTGTTATCAAGGTAAAAAAACAGAACATGCCAAATAAGTCTATCAGAACAAGTTACAAACTTACAGGGTCACTCATAGTTGGGTTAGTAGCAGATTTACCAGGTTTAACAAGTTTAGCAGGTTTTGATACCTTAGGACATTTATCAATAAAGGTCTTAGGACCAAGCATATTATTCTTTGTAGGACTAGTATCAATTCTTAATGCTGGAATATCTAGTATGTCATCATTATTCAACAATGCCTATAGTTCATCAGGATATATACCACAATATATTCTCATTGTCTCAGATGAGGTAACAGAATTTTGTGAAAAGTGTATCCCAGGTTGAGTAGGTGTCACATCAGTTGGTGCATGGTTTTCTCCAGGTTGAATAGCATGACTCATAGTTGTTACAGTTGGTGCTTGAGCCTCATTTTCTGCAGTAGCATGACTCCCAGTTCCTGCAGTAGCATGACTCCCAGTCCCTGCATTAGCATGACTCCTAGTTCCTGCAGTAGCATGACTCTCATTTCCAGTTTTTGATTTCTTAGATGTGCCTCCTTTTTTGGTTTTGGTTGTACCTTTTGGCCCACCTTGCATCCAACATAATTGTAACAAGATATTGAAAATTGTATATGAATTTCTAATGTAAATGTTTTGTTCAGTTTGAGTTACTAACCCTTTTTGGATTCTGCAGTAGCCACATTTTGTGTTTGGCTTCCCTGGGTGGGTGCAACATCTCTTGGCAATTCACCTTCAACAACTACCAATTGTTTTTTTTCTTACATGTCCCTACTGACAACTATCAACAAGATTCCACCATATTTATTTTTTAGGTGATATCCATCTAACCCTATGAATGGTTTGCATTCAACCTTCAATGCTTTCTTTGTACTATCAAAGCACATGTATCACCTTTCAAACCTAGGTGGCAAACCAGAAATGTTCAACTTAAATTTGTTTCCTTTGGATGCCCTCCTCAATTCATCTCCATATGACCATAGCATGCTGTATTGCTTGGCTGAGTCCCCTTCAACAACCTTTCTAGCTAGTTGCCTTGCTTTGAAAGCCCTACATCCAGTTATTCCTGTAGCAAACCTCAATCTTACATCTGTTACAACTTCATTCAATTTCATACCTGAATTGTTCTTTAACTTGTCAACAATCACTCTAGATACCCAATCAGCATTAACATTCTTGTTGAAGAACTTTCTTCCACATTTGTGTTTCTGAAATGGAGTTTTAATCCTAAATGTTGCAGTTCTTAAAACCCTGCTGTATAAAACCGTGTAATCACATTGTTGTTTGTCCTTACAAACAACCCTACACCTTGTCCCATCATTTTTGGCAAACCTAACCTCCCTACCATTCAACACATTGTGTTCCAATACAACTTTTTTAAATTGCTTCAAAGAAGAAAATTCAATTCTCACCTTGAATTTAAATTATTTTCTAAGGTTTTCATGTTCATTAAACCTTATCATTGGAGGCCTACCATTATCATTATCATCATCTGCCCCACTATCAAGTTCATTTGTGATGTAATCATCCTTAATTACATGTTCCCTTTACATCTCAGTTGTAGTCAACCCTTTAAGTATCTCTTGACCATTATCCATTTGACCTGTACCATCATCATTACCCACTCCACATGTATCAACATCTTCACTCATGTCTTCATCAAAATCGTGCATCCTCTCTTCTTCACTATCTTAAAAGTGTATTCCATTCAATGAGTCTTCAGATGATTCATTGTCCTCGCCATCTTCATTTTCCTCAACATTAACGTGACCTTTTTCTTTCTCTTTTAACCTCTCCATATAAGTCTTCTCACCACTAATCTTGCCTCTGTATATATCTCAATATCACACTTACTCTCCTCGGCACACTTAGCTAACATTGTTGCATCCTCGTCATTAACAAGGGGTTTTAGATCATTTTCAAGTGAGCCATGTTCAGACTTCCACCATATTTTCACATCTTTAGTTTTAAATGATGAATCCATGCCCTTAATTAAGTCGTAGGCTTCAAAGAATGACAAAAAATCAGGATCTTACCCACATACAACGTAAACATCACCCCCTTTGTATTTTAACTCTTCATCCTTTATGAATGACCCTTTTGTATAAAAGACAACCTTATATGACCCCATTTCCTACACATTTCAAGAAAAAAGGAGGGGTAACTCAGACATTACCAACAGATAAATTAAAGATGAAAAACCTTAGAATTTGAGACCATGCCACGGGGCATGCAAGTAATGCTCGAAATGAATAAACTATAACAAGTGGGACTTACTTAATCTTTGTTGGGACCGCAACAACCAACTGAAATTTCTTCAATGTTTGAGACCACAAGAGGTAGAAATGTCAATGTCTTGTTATGATGTCGAAGGAGAACTTATGTATTGAATTCCACTTGGAAAAAGTTATGTAATGAGACATGCCACTAGGAAGAAGTTATGTAATGAATTCCACATCAGAAAATAAAACAAATTATTTAATCCACCTGCCTTGCCACATAGGAAGCCGTTAGTGAAATTTGACGTTGGAGACCAATAGTCTAGATGGAAAATTTTGAAGGGACCAATCTTTAAAGAAAAATATTTGAGAGACTAAAAACGAAAATTAAATTATTTAATGAAACCAAAAATTTATTTAATCCTTTTAAAAAAAATTATATAACATGATAAAATAATATGATCTTATTAAATGGCATATTTCCTTTAAATTTATTAAATAATAAATAATTTAGTCTTTATATATAGAGCACATTAATTAATTATTTAATAAATTAAATATAATTTAAAACCAAACAAATTACTACTAATTAATAATATAAAAATAGTCTAAGAAACGAAGAAGGAGTACCTAAAATTCCAGGAAAAACCTGGAAACTTCTACGAGTTTTCCGTCAAAATCAAATCTAGGGCTTTTCAGTGTAACAATTCTCTTTTCCGATTCAACGAAATTCCGTCTTCTTCTACCAATCGTAAGTTTCTTCCTCAATTCATCTTCTCCGATTGGAAATTGTGCATTTTTATGCGATATTACCTATGAATTCTTGTTTTTATTTTCTATATTTATTTTTTATTTCTCGCTGAAAATTTAGGGTTTCGTGTTTGTACCTATAATAATTTTTCACATCTGAAGATCTGAAGATCCTGGGATTAGGTTAATGTCGAGTGGTTTTGGAGAATCAATGAGATCATCAACTGCGCCAAATCCATCCTGTTCTTCCGGGAACAGTTCCAACAACGATGCTGGTGATTTCGAATGTAACATTTGTTTTGATTTGGCTCAGGATCCAGTGATCACACTTTGTGGTCATTTGTTCTGTTGGCCATGTCTTTACAGGTGGTTACATCATCATTCTCATTCTCAAGAATGTCCTGTTTGTAAAGCACTTGTGGAAGAAGAGAAACTTGTTCCTCTTTACGGTAGAGGAAAATCGCAGACTGATCCGAGGACTAAATCCTATCCCGGAATGGAGATTCCTCGTCGTCCTTCCGGACAGAGGCCACAGACAGCGAATCCTCCTCCGGAAGGGAATTACGCTGGGGTTGGATTGATGGGGGGTTTTATTCCGATGGCAACTGCTAGATTCGGAAACTTTTCGCTTTCGACTGGTTTTGGTGGGTTTGGCGGGTTTCTTCCGTCGCTGTTCAATATTCACTTTCATGGTTTTCAGGATGGGACTGTTTACGGGACAACGTCTGGTTATCCCGTCGGGTTTAACCCATTTCAAGGTGGGAATGCGAGGGGTTTTAATTCGCAGGAGATGGGACAAGTGCAACGGCAGGAGGATAATGTTTTGAAGAATTTGCTTATGTTGATTGGAGTTCTTGTCCTTATAACGGTTATTTTTGTTATGTGATGTTGTTTTTATGTTAAACTTACATTGCTTTTAGTTAGCTTTTGATCTGTTATGCTGAATGGAATGGTTTTATTTTGTAAATATTCTAGTTGGTTTCAACTTTCAAGAGGGAGTCCTATGCTTGAGAATGCTGCCTGTTTAGCGTTTTTGTATCAACTGTATTATTAACGTGTGCGCTGAACTTGAATGTTTCTGTTTGCTTCATCATTTGCATGCTTTTGTCTGCTGTCTTGTATTAGCTTTTTTTTTTGTTTCTTCTCATATTTGATATCTAAATGCTGCCTTGATAGGCTCACAAGAATGGATTCTGTTCCTCTAGAGTGAGTGTATAGTTAAGTGTATAGTTTTAACCATGGAAGCCATGATTAGTAGATTTAAGTTTTCGAATTCCTACTGATTATAGCTCTGCTATACACATTCATTCTGAGGAGCCTAAAAGTTGATTTTCTATTACCTCATGGTTGGTAGCTTTAGAGATTACAGCGCTGATATGCAATGATATCAAATAGCGGCACCATGCCCATACAGAGCTTTGCTCTAGCTTTAAGCGGAGCCTCGCAAGTGAATGGTGCGATTGGTTCCTTTGGATTAGTCGGTTGCAAGGTCGGATATTAAGATTTTTTAAAAAAAGAAAAAAGAAACAGTGCCATGGCCGTTATGTCAGATATACATGACGATTATTGAGCTCGCCGCAATGGTAAATACCAGCTGTTATTGCGAGTTTTTCTGCCATAATTTGCAATAACGGCGCCACAAAATGGGCGATATGACGGGATTTTGGCTCTCTGTTATGGACCAACCACCACCGACAACACTGTTGGTATGGCAGTTTGTAGTATTTTATTCTTTTGAGAGCTATAGTGAATCTTGATTGATAGCTGAGTATCCTTTTAGTCTCCCCCTGTCACAGCAAATTGAGACACTGAAGACATCATTTTGGTTTGTAGTTCGAAGTAGGGGTATATTACTTACTCCACATATCATTGCTTTTAGTTGGATTGTAATAAAGACACGAAGACATCATTTTGGTTTGTAGATGGAGATAATCTGAGAATTCTGTTTATACTTTGAAAGCTTGATCTCCTAAAAGTCTAAAACAATGTTAAGAGTGGGAGGCAGGGAGCTTTTGAGGCAATCTTTTCTAGTACAAAATGAACACTTCTGCCGAAAGTTCCATGTCTTTCTTGGGGAATTTTTCTAAACAGAATAGCTACCCTAGATAATCTTATTAGGAGAGGTGTGATTGGTGTCGATTCTAATCTTTGTGTCGGAGAGTGCGGTAAAGAAGAGTCGGTGGCTCATTTATTCTTCGAATGTCCAGTTTTTGCGGGGGTTTGGTATGAGGTGTGTCGCTGGTTAAATATTTCTTCGGCATTGCATAATGATAGTCTATTGCATTTGAAGCAATTTGAAGGATTGTTAGGTAGAGGCAGAAATGTCGGTCTTATGGCCCAAGTAATTTGGTTCACGTGTGTGTGGAATATTTGGAAAGCGAGGAACGATAAATGTTTTCAAAACAAAAATTTCGAGTCTGAATGCTTGGTTGAGAAGGTAAAAATCCACGCTTGAAAATGGTTGAAAGTAAAAGCAAAAAAATTGGTATTTGACATATCTTTTGGTGTTTGAATCCAAGGGCGTGCATGGGTCTGATAGAGGAGTAAATGTCTGTTTTCAGTTTTTTTTCTTTCTCTTGGTATCGGGTTCCTCAGGTGCTTTGCAGGCGTTTTTGGTGCTTTTGGCTGATTTGTTGCGCAGAGGATTTGTCTGTATGTTGATGTATTGCCTTGCAGGTGTATCAGTTTTGGCAAGGAGCCGCAGAAATCGCAGGTGTCTGAGGTTGTGTTTCGGTCAGTTTTGGCGAGGAGCAGCAGAAATCGCAGGTGTCTGAGGTTGCGTTTCGGTCCGTGGATTGAGTACTGTGAACTGCTAGTTTTCTGGATCTTCATTCTGGACCGCAGTTTATATTTAGTAGTTCTATTGTGGTGTTGTTTTTGGATGTATTTTGGTTGGGTGAGCTTATGTTTATTAAGTGGAATAGCAGTTGTTTATGTTAATGCAGATCTGCTAAATATGGAGTTCCTAGCTTGTTTTGGTTCTCAGCTGTTTGGTTTTTGCCTTTTGTCGCAGCAGGAGGCTGGTTTGGTGTCCCGACGAGTGCATGGTGTCCCGACAGTGCAACTTCTTTCGTATATTTTTATTGTATCTGGTGTGAGCGGTTTTGGTAGTTCTGTCTGGACTGGTTTTTTTTGCTACTGCCTGTTGATTCTATTTAGTTTTCCTAATTTGTATGAGGTGGTTAGCTTGGTTTTGGTGTTTGCTTTTAGTGTTTTGATACCTTTTTGAGGTGTAACATTTTGTTCTGGTGGAGGCATATCTTATGCCTGAGTTCAATTAAATTTTTTTGCTGTTCCAAAAGAAAGTTTGATTCACCCATTACAGTTGCTTATTATTCTCTCTTCGTCTGCAAAGTTTTCAACTTTTTACAATTTCATTTTGCTTAATCTTTTTACAACTCTATACCCCTCTAGCATCTTTCTGTGTCCACAGGTGCAAGGTTATAGTTACTCCCTCATGTCACACTATTATAAACTAAGTATTGGTTTTTAGATTATTTGAATAACAAATGTATTCTGTATTGCGGTATCTCTTTGATAGCTTCGGATTCAACGCATGGCATCGCCGGTGAGCACGCACAAACACTTTTTTGAATTGAAGTATTAAGTTGGATTCCCTGAGCATGTGGGAAAATTCTATAAGCTTTGCTTTTGTATTATTTTATTTCTCCTTTTCGTACGGCAAAGGACATAAAATAATTGGTTTATGCAAAATTTAATCTGGCTTATGGTAGATTTGTTCTATTTTGTAAGTAATTATAATCAAGTGTCTGCAATTTTTAAGTTATAAATCTTAGAAAATAGTTTTATTTAATTACTGGACAGAAAATGAAATTGGAATATAATTCAATCAATGTAAGCCCACTTGATTAAGAACAGCAGCACATGATGTGGATTATTTTTCCCCTGAATAACTAGACATCAAATATTGACCATGGAATTCACATGTTCTAACAAATGACATATACCAAAGTACATGCACTATAATAAAAGCAATAAGACTAAATACTCAATTTTCTTTCTTGCTTTTGTCACTTGAATTTCATCCAAACCCTTGCTTTATCATATTTCTTGAATAGTCTTCAGACACCACGCCTTAATTAATTTGGTCCCTCTGCCCGTTTCCACTAATAACAAAGTTAACCTTGCTTAGTTGACACGTTAGACGCCATATTATCTTACACATCATTGAATGAAGAAGACTAATATGAAACATTTTAAGTACTAAAAAAAACTAGCTCATACTAGATACCAGAAACATGAACTTAATAGGAACTATCATTTTACCATCATGTGTGAAAATGATACATCATATTGTGTATATTGCTTTGTACAGGGCTCCTGCTATATAGTATGTTAAATCAAAAGGAGCTGTCAAAGAGATATAATAATTATGACAATATCAGAATTCTATAACTACAAATATTTGTATGCTTCCAATTATATTAAGCGTCACGCATTAAGGGAACTTGATCAAATTAGTAGTTAGCAAGATTTAAAAAATGGTCTGTAATTGCAAAAAGGGCCACGAAAAAACGATATAGTGAAGTGTTTATACTGATATAGTTATTCACGAATAAATTGTTGGATTTTACAGCTCTAAAAGACTTGATGAGGCATGACTTGAATATAGAGACTTTCAATTATAATATGAAGACAATTAATTGTTAAAATTAACTCAAATATAAATATAGAAAAAGTAGTAACAATAGAAAAAATTACTACCTCTTAATCAACCAACGAAATAGAAGTTTTAAAATAGAGACTGGAAATTGACTTTATGACCTAAAAAGCACAGGTATGTTGTTAGAGAATCAAATTTACAGGATAAAAGAAATGTAGGACATGTACATGTACAATTCAAGATACCTTGTTTAATTTAAAATTGGACATGTATGCTTATTATGACCATTTTCATACAATAACTAAAAGTCTGCAGACGTCATTTAGTTGCCGCAAATAAAGGGTCATGCAAAGTTATATCGACATTAGAGACTTTTGATATATCTTTAGATGTTGAATCAACAAACTTCTTATTTGATTCTTTAATATCGTGATATTTTTCGGATTGTGAAACTCTTTTGGATAGTTCAAGTGAGTGAACCATAATACTATTAAACAATGAAGTGTTAGAAGCAATGATTGAAAAACATTAATGGATCATCTATGTAAAACATATTGCGAAGGGAGACGGAAAACTTTTTTCTTTATAAATACATATAATACATATCTACAAAGAACACCTGAAAATTCAAATTTGTGACAACTACAATTTACTTTTTTTGAAGTGCCATGAAAATTCACATAGTAGTCAGACTTCTCTTTGTAAGTTTCTTGAACTTTATATGTTGAGACTTCCATGAAAAGCTTAACCTTTTTTGTGATAAACAATTGAGAATCAATCAACTCATCATAAAATATTCTAAATATTTTTCTTGTATAAACTTTCGAAGCTTCTTCTTTCATGGAATATAAAGTTCGTAAAAGTGGATTTAAATTTTTTGTTTTGAAAGTTTTCTCTCTTTCCTTGTTGTAACGTGCATCAAGAGCCTTTTCATATATTGTTTCACAAACTGGCTTAATGGAGTACTTGAATTCAAAAAATTCTTGAAGTATTTATTCATACTTTCACTCCTTTGAGTGGTAGACATTCCTGCACAAAAATTGTGACGTACATAAGTAAAAGTCTATTTTTCTCGAATGTAGTATATCTTATTTAGCCACTGATTATCTTGTAATCCATATTTATAAATGATTGCTTTACAATCAGAATCAAATTCTTCGACAATGGTAGATTGGTGGATGCATTTGTAAAATTGATTTTTAAATTCACCATGTTCATGATAGATACCATTCAAGTACTCATGAACTTTTTTTCCCTCAATATACTACATACAATAATGATGATTAAACTCTGGAAACACCTTTGTAACTACATTACTATTAGAAGCATCCTGATCAGTGATACTAGTTTTAGGACAAATTCCATCCATTGCTTTTAACCAAGTACTTAGCAACCAAACAAAACTCTATATAGTTTTGTTTTGGACTATCCCAATGACTAGAATTGGTCCAATCTACTTCCACCTTCAGCATGACCCAAACAACTTTGGCCCACTAACTCTGGTCCTCGATCGAGCACGCTCGATCGAGCACACCACTAGAATATAAAGGGTGACAATGTCCTGACCACTTGTCTTTCCCACATCACCGTCTATCTTAAAGTATGCTCGTCACACGTCGATCATACAACCAGGAAGGTGCTCATAACATGTCTGCCCGTCACCTCATCCTTGCTCGAAGCAACAACTAGTTACAGGCATGACTAACCGTTTTGATCAGGTCCTGGCAGTTACTTATCTTTTGGGAATTAAATATCTAGGTCCAAAAATAGGAACCAATAGCTACGCGTCAGAGGCATTATATAAACCCTCACACTCGTGAGGGTTAAATATCCAATATTCACACTAAAACCCTAATCTCTTTTTTGTATCTCTTTGCACTCTTTCTCACTAGATCGTTGGAGTGTCTTGTAGGTACATCCCTTCCTCTCTTCATCTTTCAAGCCAAGCAGACGTCACCCTTTGATCCACTTTCATATTTTGATCAACCGGTAAGATCAATAGCGTCGTCCGTGGGAATCTATTTTCCCCATCTTCCTTTTCCTCAAAACTAAAGACCAAAGATACTTTCATAACTTTTGTCATGGCGGACCATGATGACCATCACCTTTCTGAGAAGACTGTACTCTTCCCCGTCCATAAGACAGACAGAAGTCAGGAACATCCTCATCTCGAGGATGCCCATGACGCCAGATATGGTCGAACAACTTTCCTAAAATCGATTAATCTTGAACGCGACAACCTCCAGTTTTTGGATGACCAGAGGTCCAAGAACCCTAACTAAGAACTGCAAGAAATCCTTTATCCAGTTCTTATTCCACCAAATACCGACCCGACCATGGCAATGCTGCTCGCTGCCGTCAATCAAACCAACGCCCTAATCCTGAAGCAGAGCAAGAGGATTGGAGCTTGGAAGAAGAAGTAGTTAAAGTCTCTTCCTCGGAGACACCGATGTTATGACTCGCACAATCCATCACCATCGAGGCACGACCGTCTTCCCGTACGAGAGAGGAAAGAGGCGTCTTTCCTCAAGAAACAAGCTTACTAGTTTGACATCATTTGTACCCTCATGGGTAACTTGTAAAGCATCCCACATTGTCTTAACGGTAGCACAATGCGAGATACGAAAGTATTCATCAACTCCAAGAGCTGATATGAGCATATTTTTAGCTTTCCAGTCATAAGCATAGTTTTTCTCATCTTTTTTATTCCATTGTGCTTCTGGTTTGGGTACAACGACACCCGTATTATTTAACATAGTTATGGCCATAGGATCTTATTCTATGACTTTCCAAATTTTTTATCAACAAAATTGATATGCACATACATACAATCTTTCCAATAGCTATAATTTTCACCGGTGAAAATAGGCGCTCTATTGTATGCCCCTTTTGGATCGTTCTCCACTGTCTAAAGAGTTATATGTGAAGCACTAAATGAACCAGTGCTCGGATACCACTTATTAGACGATAGGATGTATCTAGAAGGGGATGGGGGGGGGGGGGGGTTGAATAGATACCTTGATTTTTAAAATCATTTTTTAAGAAAAACTTAAAGCGCAGTGAAAGCTACCCGGATACACTCGTCTAAAACGATCCTCTATTGAAAAGACCGAATATGTGAAAAACCGAATGGAATGAATCAATGAGAATTATTAACACTTAAATCAATTATAATTGATCACTTAAACTCTTTAACTATTGTCAATTACTTCTAATGAAATATTGAGAAGAAAATACACAAATTTGCACTTTTGAACTTTTATCGAACACTTGGTGTGCTTAATTTCACCAAGTTCAATCTACCTTAATTTGTAGTGTTGGAATAAATTATAGCAATCAAAATGATTACTATAGTTTTTAGTAACAGTTTTATTGCACTAAAAATCAGGACAATTGGAACCACAAGAGCAAAATTTCAGATTATTGTAAATAAACGGTAAAGAGCGAGAAAGAAAAATGACACGCAATTTGTTAAGGTAGTTCCCTTTGTCGTCCTCTCGTGGGGTACATCTGCCCTAATTCTAGAATTTAGAATTAGGATAGTTTCTATTATAATTGCAAAGTTTATACAAGAGATAGAAAATAGTCACCACAATTCAAACCCA